GTGTCAAAGCAGTTAGTTTGTCTGAAAGATGCAGTAGGATATAAAGTTGTGGTGTATTGTACCTCTGCTCTTTGTGCAGGTCACTAGTAGGTCACCTTAACAGCTTGTCAGGGGAGTTGGGAGTCTTGTAACACTATCAAATCCAGCTTTCTTCTTCCATGCGAGCAGTTGAAAATCCCATACAACACTGTCCTCTTCTGAGAGTACTCGGAAATCTGGTTTGATGGTGCTCTGTTTAAGGAAAGCGGAGAGATCACTTTTCCTTTCTGTGCTCCCTGAGCTAAATATACAGAGCAACAGCTGATCCCCTGTGGGTGTTTACAGGCACTCTTAGGAGCCCGTTGTGGCAACTCCAGATGACATTGCTGCATATCCCATGTAGGTCACAAATCAAAAAAGTTTGCATCTTTTGCTTTGCTCCCTTCTTTGGCTCACCTATTTATTAACTTAAAGCTATTCTCCCTCGAATGGGAGTGATGGCTTGGTGTCCTGTGAAGTTTATAACCATAATGGAGCATAAACTAGTACTGCTGAGAAGAACTGAAGGGAGGAGCTGATGTCACATGGTGTGGTGGTCAGACTTCCCCCCCCCCCCCCGCCCTTTGTAACTTCAAAATGTTCAGCTAAATCAATATGGTCTTTTCACCACTATTCATCAGAGCTATTCAGAGCAAAATATGAATTTTAAGACTATTGTATAGTATACGCTGTGTGTATACATATCAACTTGTATAAGTGCAGCATCAGCACCTAATACATTTGAAAACAGAGCAAGGTAAGTTCCTTAGCGTTCCTGGTAATAAGGGATTTTGCTTGCCTAATTTTACTACTAATCACCAAAGAGAGTCTGTTTTTTCTCTTTTGTGAAATTGCCTTCCTGGATCATCACCCTGGGAGTCCTGGAGTAATCAAATAAACTTGGTCCAGCTCAAACCGTGTGTCCTGATGCAAGTTTCAATTGACTGCACATGTAAGATAGAAGATAGGTTCCGGAGGCCAATTTTAGGCTGCTAGGTAAGAGAGAGAAGTCCAGGACCTCATCTCTAGCATTCTCTGAAATGCTTCCAGTTCCCCCTGCAGGGCCAGTTAGACAGGCAGAACTGCAGGGTCTCAATATGTGGATGAGATGATGGTGGTAGGGAGAAGGGATTTAAGTTTATTAGGAAGTGGGGAACCTTTTGGGAAAGGAGGAGCCTATACAGGAAGGATTGGCTCCACCTAAACCAAAACGGGACCAGATTGCTGGCATGTAAAATTAAAAAGGTCGTAGTAGAGTTTTTAAACTAAGAGTTTGTGGAAAGCCAAGAAATGCAGAGGAGCACATGGTTTGGATGGAGATATCCCTTAGGGGAGGATCTATTAATGGGGGTTCTTGATATCCTACTAAAGAGGAGAGACTAGAAGTTGATAAAGTACAGATACGAACTGAAGAGAAACAATCAAACGAAAAAGAGTCCCAGTCAGTTACATCACATAATGGCAGACAGCTAAAATGTGACCGATTTTATAAGCGCTTGTATATAAATGCTAGAAATCTAAATACTAAGATGGGTGAACTTGAGTGCCTGGTATTAAATGAGGATATAACAGGCATCACATAAACTTGGTGGAATGATGATAATCAGTGGGACATGGTGATATCAGGATACAAAATACATAGCAGGAGTGGCCAAACTTACTGACCCTCCGAGCCGCATACCACAATCTTCAGAAGCTTGAGAGCCAGGGCATGCCTGCTGGGGCTTGGGGTGTCTCCAGAGCTCGGGGTTTCAGCCCTGCTCCTGCTGAAGCCTCGAGCCCCGACAAGCACACCCTGCAGGGCTGAAGCCACGAGACAACCCCCCACCCCCGCTTTGGTTGGAAGAAGCTGGAAGTGACACATGGGGAGCACATGACCAGATTTTTGCCAGGGTTTGGTGGCCAGGCCCCGTCACATGGTGCTGCCAGGCCCCCTCCCTGCAGGGCAGATACTGGAGCCATCAAGCTGGGAGCTGTGGCCGTGGGGAGAGGCAAGGGCAAACAGCTGGGAGCTGCAGGGAGAGAGCCATTGCATTTGCTGCTGCCTCTCCCCATGGATCTAAAGCAGCGGCCTCTCCTGCAGCTCCCAGCTCTTTGCCTCAGAACTAACACCTGGGAGCTGCAGGGAGGGGCCGCTGAGGGTGAGAGGGGTATGTGTGCCAGGTGGGGGCGGGGGGTGCGTGATTCAAGCTGTTGGGGGGGGCAAACCTTTAAATTGTGCCCCCCACTCTCAGCAGGCGCCAGTCATCTCTGGCAGAAGTGCTGAACCTCCTTTCCCTAAGTCTGGTAGGCGGAGGATGGGGGGAGCCTGGGGAGCTCTGCGAGGCCCACGTCTGATACACTAGGAAGGACAGCGTAGGTCATGCTGGTGGGGGAGTGGCACTACATGCGAAAGAAAGCATAGAGTCAAACATAGTAAAAATCTTAAGTGACTCAAACTGTACCATAGCATGTCCATGGATAGAAATTCCATGCTTGAATAAGGTAGAGCAGTAGGAATATACTGCTGACCAGGATGGTGATTGTGAAGTGCTCCAGGAGATTAGAGAGGCTATAAAAATAGAAAACTCAATAATAATGGGGTATTTCAAGTATCCCCATATTGACTGAGTACATATCATCTCAGGATGGATACAGAGATTATTTGTTAGTCTCTAAGGTGCCACAAGTACTCCTATTCTTTTTGCGGATACAGACTAACATGGCTACTACTCTAAAACCTACAGAGATAAAGTTTCTAAACACCATTAATGACTGCTTCTTGGAGCAGCTAGTCCTGGAACCTACAAGAGGAGAGGCAATTCTTGATTTTAGTCCCAAGTGGAACACCGGGTCTGATCCAAGAGGTGACTATAGATGAACTACTTAGTAATAGCAACCATAATAAAATTAAATCTAACCTCCTTTTGTGGGGGGGAGGGGAAATATCAAAGAAGCTGACCACAGCAGCATTTGACTTCAGAAAGGGGAACTACACAAAAGTGAGGAAGCTAGTTAAATGGAAAAGCTACAGTCACAAAAGTGAAATGCATGAAAGCTGCATGGACTCGTTTTAAAAAACACCATAATAGAGGCTCATATTAAATGTATACCCCAAATTAAAAACATCATAAGTACCACTATGGCTAAACAACAAAGTAACGGAAGCAGTTAGAGGCAAAAAGGCATCCTTTGAAAACTGGAAGTCAAATCCTACTAACAAAAATAGAAAGAAGCATAAATTCTGTCAAGTGTAAAAGTATAATTAGGCAGGCCAAAAAAAAATTTGAAGAGCAACTGGCAAAAGACTCAAAAACTAACAGCAAAAAGTTAAAGTACACCAGAAGCAGGAAGTCTGCCAAACAATAAGTGGGGCCACTGGACGATCAAGATGCTAAAAGAGTACTCAAGGAAGATAATATGGCCATTGCAGAGAAGCTAAATGTATTCTTTGCATCCCTTTTCACTGCAGAGGATGTGAGGGAGATTCCCACACCTGAGCCATTCTTTGTAGGTGACAAATCTGAGGAACTGTCCCAGATTGAGGTGTCAGTAGACGAGGTTTGGAACAAACTGATAAATTTAAACAGTAATAAGTCACCAAGACCAGATGGTATTCATCCAAGAGTTCTGAAGGAACTCAAATCTGAAATTGGAGAACTATCAACCATGGTATGTAACCTATCGCTTAAATCAACTTCTGTACCAGAATGCTCCTGAGGCGATCCCGGCAATCCAGGCCAGTAAGCCTAACTTCACTCCTAAAGAACAGAATTCTCAAACACATGGATGAACACAATTTGTTGCTGAAGAGCCAACTCAGTATTACAATAGATGTACTTCTGGGTGAATTCAGAATCGTACTTGCTGAAGTTAGTGATAAAAATACGTTTTTACTGCTTTTTATGACTCTTTAGCTCTGCAGAGCCAACCTCCAGCCTTCATCAGTACCTAACACCTGATTGCCTCTGGCACTGCTGGTGAGACGACACTGGCAGGGTACCTTAGCATCAGCTCTTTTGCCTATGACTCCAGTATTGAAGAGAGTATCCACTTCGGATTACTTTGATTTTAGAATCAAGGACTGAAGATCTCTTAAGTCCCTGTCTACAGTGGTGTAGCTTTTGGAAACTGGTTTAAAGTTGGTTATGTTCTAATGGTGGGTTTGTAATTTGTTCACTGTTTTGATTTACAGAAAAACAGGAACAAAAATTGCAGAGTTGGGTTAGATGCGTACTAACATGTCATAGAATCATAGAATATCAGGGTTGGAAGGGACCTCAGGAGGTCATCTAGTCCAACCCCTGCTCAAGGCAGGACCAATCCCCAGACAGATTTTTTTTGCCACAGATCCCTAAATGGCCCCCTCAAGGATTGAACTCACAACCCTGGCTTTAGCAGGCTAATGCAACTGTTAAATGTATAAGCATGGCAAGTTTAAGTAAGAGCAGGGAGATGGGATTACTTCTGTATACAGTATCCATAAGACCATCACTGGAATACTATGTCTGGTTCTAGTATCCATGCTTCAGAAAGGATGGTGAAATCGAAAAGGATTCAGAAAAGAGTTACAAGATGATAATATAATAATTAATGGAGATATCCCATCTCCTAGAACTGGAAGGGACCTTGAAAGGTCATTGAGTCCAGCCCCCTGCCTTCACTAGCAGGACCAAGTACTGATTTTGCCCCAGATCCCTAAATGGCCCCCTCAAGGATTGAACTCACAACCGTGGGTTTAGCAGGCCAATGCTCAAACCACTGAGCTATCCCTCCCCCCAATTTAAAGATGATTCAAGGTCTGGAAAACCTGCCGTACGGTGAGAGATTTAAGGTTACGGTTAAGTGGTGACTTGATCCTGGACTTGATCATGGACAAGTTGTGTGTTTGCTGCAAAAATTACTGGGTGATTTTCTATGGTTTCTGTTATGCAGGATATCTGACTAAACGGTCATTAAAAATCTATGAATTAATGACTAACCCCTTTGTATTCTTTTTCTAGTTCCTGAGGGAAGACTTAAATTATCATGACCCAACAGTCAAACACAGCACCTTCCATGGGGAGGATAAACTCATCAGCGTGGAAGATCTCTGGAAGTCATGGAAAACATCCGAAGGTAAAAATTCTCATATCTAAACACTGCTGCATTCATTTTGTTCGTATTTTCAGCAGAAAGATCATGGTTGGTTCCAGCCTCTTCTGTCACTTTTTGCATGAACTTAGTTTTCCAGAGGGATAAGAGGAGCACAAATAAAATATCTGGAGTGGTCAATTGAAGCAGAAAATTATTGAGTGGATACAGAGAACAACAATACACTTGCATTCAGCACCTTAGTAACAGACAGATAATAAGTAACATGCTCTTTTAGAAGAACCCCACAGAAATCATCTAAATGTGAGGACTGTTAGACCAGTGGTCTCCAAACTTTTTTGATCGCGCACCCCTATCAGTAAAAAATTTTTGAGCACGCACCCCCT